TTTTGGGGTGGAGATTGTTTGGCCTTTGCAGATTAGTGAGCTGAATTTTGCGGATTAGTGAGGTTAATTTTCGCTAGGTCTTGGTTTGGGATTTAGAACTGAAGGAGATGAATAAGAATGAGATGCATTTTGGGGTTGTGCTGCATTTTCCCTTTTTTGTTTTGTGTTTTTTCTTTCTTTTTTTTTTGGTTGGGGTTTTAAATTGGTATTTTTTTAAATTTAATGACACTTTTGTAACTTTATATGTTATTAATAAGGTTAGTAAGGTATATGGTAGTTGCGTTGTTCATCTCCCTCTTCCCAAGCTGGGTAATATGACTGTCCATTCTTTCGTCGAACCAGACATTATTTGAGAGTTATGAAATTCGATCGCTTTGGCGCATAAGAATGGGTATTTATTATGAAAGGGTATTTATAAATTACATAAAATTTTCATTACTATTTACTAAATTAAAATAATGATATAAAATTATTTATCACAAGCATAGTCGTCATAATTTATGTGGCTTTAAGGACGAAAGTAAATGTGTCTGGAACAGAGTATTCTTTGGTGACAAAAATAAAATTTATCATTTTTTCGTAACAAATTTTATGACGAAATATCATTCATCGTAAGAAAAAGCGTCATAAAGTATTTGAAATCAATGACAAAAATATATAATGTCATAGAATAATAATCTTTAGTGGCGAAATTTAGTATTGAAGTAACGTTTGGATTTAGTCTTGAATTTATTGTCACTTATAATAATAAAAATAATAATAATAATAATAATAATAATAATAATAATAATAATAATAATAATAATAATAATAATAATAATAATAATAATAATAATAATAATAGAAGATACTATCATAAAAGGGTACTTATAAATTACATGTAATTTTTATTACAATTTAACAAATAATGATAAAATACTATTCGTCAAAAAAATAATTGTCATAAATTATGTGATTTTAAGGACGAAAGTAAATGGTGTCACGAATGTGTATTCTCTAGTGACAAAAATAAAATTTGTCATTTTTACATAACAAAATTTGTGACGAAATATCATTCATCATAAGAAAAGCGTCATAAATTATGTGAATTCAGTGACAAAATTAAATGATGTCATAAAATAATAATCTTTAGTGGCAAAATCAAAATTTGTCATTGTTATTAACAAAATTGTGACAAAATATATTCCGTCATAGACAGAGTCGTCTTAAAATATATGATTTAGTGACGAAATTAAGTGACGTCACAAAAAGGATATTCATTTGCGGCAACAAATATATTTTGTCATATTAGCTTACAAATTGTGAGAAAATATTATCCGTCATAATAAAATTTGTCACTAAAAATGTGATTTAATGACGAAAGTAAAGAACGTCATAAACTGCTATTTAACGGTGACAAAAATATACTTGTCATAGTTGCCGAAGAAATCCTGACGAAAAGTCATCCGTCACATACAACATTTTTATATAAATGTGACAAATTTAGATGTTAAGGTGACAAATTGAGATGTGTTGTCATGAAAAGTATAATTATGTGACGCAAAATTAATTCTAAGATGACGAATGTAGGAATCGTCGCTATATGCAATGATGTAATGACGGTTTTTAAAATTCGTCACCACAATGCTACAGACTGTGACACTTTTTTTTTCGTCACACGAAATTCGTCACTTTTTGACAGATTTCTTGTAGTGAGGAGAATCCAGCGCGGTCGTGAGCGATATCCAGGTGGCGTCTCTCTCCCGCTTGTGCGCATTCTGGTGGTCGGGTAGTGCCTGCGTAGGCAGAACTTGCAGATGCGGATGCGGTTGCAGAATAGATATGTGAAAAATCAAGGGTAGGCGAAGGGCAATGAGTTGCTCGATGGATCGGGTTTTTGACATGACCGTTTAGCTTGAAGAAATCGTATTGCCGGGATCTGTCATTTTGGTTTTCCCGAGCTCCATTTTCTCAATCTGTGTTGGACTAATTTTGAAAATTTAATTTTAAAGGAAGGATGAAAAAATAATATCAGCTTGAAGAATATAACTTTCAATTTTAAACCAAACAAGTTAATATTCTACCCAAATAAATAGATAGCCCTTGAAACAATCAAAAAGATTATATCATGCTCAATCCATTAATTCAACCAAATTGGCCCTTA